AGCTTTGCACACTAACAGGGCTGCAGAGATTTTCCTGTAAGGTGCTACCCTTCCTGGGGCAGAAGGGCTGCTGCCTTCTAGACAACCAGTATTTCTGTCCCACTGTTCCAGGCTGTCAGCATAAGAAAGGGCAAACAGCCTGGGTTTGATTTGCATATGGATTCTAATTACAATTCTGTCACTGGCTGCTCCATACTAAGGAGTAAAAGGTATAGCTTCTTTGAACCTAGATTTCCAGACCTGGAAAAAAAAAATGTGGGTTAAAAATAATGCCTTCTTAGGTTGCTAGTGAGAATTAAATGAGATGATGTATGCAGAATACTGAGTATTTTGTAGGCATTGAATATGTGCCAACTGCTGTTCAAGAACTCTTTTTTTTTTTTTTTTTTTTTGACAGGCAGAGTGGACAGTGAGAGAGAGAGACAGAGAGAAAGGTCTTCCTTTTGCCGTTGGTTCACCCTCCAGTGGCCGCCACGGCAGGCATGCTGTGCTGATCCGAAGGCAGGAGCCAGGTGCTTCTCCTGGTCTCCCATGGGGTGCAGGGCCCAAGCACTTGGGCCATCCTCCACTGCACTCCCTGGCCACAGCAGAGAGCTGGCCTGGAAGAGGGGCAACCGGGACAGAATCCGGTGCCCCAACCGGGACTAGAACCCGGTGTGCTGGCGCCGTAAGGCGGAGTATTAGCCTAGTGAGCCGTGGCGCCGGCCAAGAACTCATATTCTATTTCCACAAGATATTGCCACATGTGTTGGCTTGCTGAGCCCAACACCAAGACTATTAACCTTATCTTTATCAAGTTTCTTAGGGAAGGGTGAGATACTCCTTGAATTTTTCTAGAATCTTAGACATTGTGAGTACACACAGTATTCTCTGATAGGTTGTATAGTTGAGTGGTCCAGGAGTATAGCGCTAGAGTAGATTGTTCGGATTCAAATGTTCCTCCTACAGCTTAATAGCTGTGAGACGCTGGGAGAGTTGATTGACCTCTTCATGCTTCAGTTTTTCCTGCTATGGTATATGGATAGCATTTGTACCTAGAAAATCTCATAGGATTGTTATGAGTTAAGACATGAAAAATGCTTAGAAGAGTGTCTGGCAAATAGTAAATTGCTTTAAAAATTATTAACTGGCCGGCGCCGCAGCTCACTAGGCTAATCCTCCACCTAGCGGCGCTGGCACACCGGGTTCCAGTCCCGATCAGGGCGCTGGATTCTGTCCTGGTTGCCCCCCTTCCAGGCCAGCTCTCTGCTATGGCCCAAGTGCTTGGGCCCTGCACCCCATGGGAGACCAGGAAAAGCACCTGGCTCCTGCCTTCGGTTCAGCGTGGTGCTCCGGCTGCAGCGCACCAGCCGTGGCAGCCATTGGAGGGTGAACCAACAGCAAAGGAAGACCTTTCTCTCTGTCTCTCTCTCTCACTGTCCACTCTGCCTGTCAAAAAAAAAAAAAAAAAAAAAAGTTAAGTGCTACAGCTGTTATCATCAGTGTTGTTAATTTTTTTCCACAAAGGGAATGTAATAGTCTTCCTTTCCCCCAGTCTCTCTCTACTTGTAGCTCCCTTACGTACCACTGCCATAACAGATTCTTAGAGCTTCAGTCAGTCCTAATCTCTTACTCAGAGATCATCAGACATTTTATGCTGGCATTCAGAGCTATGGTTCAGTCTTGCTTTATCTTCATCTTGTCCTCTCAAACCTACTGGATCAAGTGTCCCTTGAACCTGAACTGTCATCCAGAAGACCAGACAAAAGCCAATTCCTTTTCAGCTCTGTGTCCTGCTGTGATGATCTCTTGAGAAGTGCCTCACACTACCTGTTGGCGTGCTTGGTTTCCAGTCCAGCATCCTTCTAAGTGAATGTGATATTGAGTGTTGCCTGTTCAGAGCTAAGACCCTCCTGCTGAGTTTTACAGCTTTGTATCTCCTGCAGTATCTGGCACAGATTGGTGTTTGAGAAGTATTAAGGAAGAGGCATGATTTCAAAAAACAGACTTCTTAAATTGGTGCCTACTTGCAAAGACACCCTTAGGCTTTTGAACCAACCATGTAGAAAATAAGTCAATAAGTTAGGCATAAAAATGCTAACAGTGATGACATCAAAAAGCACAACGATAGAGGATGGAGAAGATAATAATTTCAAAAGATACATGGAAAACTGCAAAATTATAATAGGGAAGGAACCTTTGGTATAGGCAACAAAATACCTTACTTTTTTTTTTTTTTTTTTACAGGCAGAGTGGACAGTGAGAGAGAGAGAGACAGAGAGAAGGTCTTTCCTTTGCCAGAGGTTCCTGAACCCCGGCTGCCGCATCTGGCGCGCTGCGGCCGGCGCACCGCGCTGATCCGATGGCAGGAGCCAGGTGCTTTTCCTGGTCTCCCATGGGGTGCAGGGCCCAAGCACCTGGGCCATCCTCCACTGCACTCCCTGGCCACAGCAGAGAGCTGGCCTGGAAGAAGGGCAACCGGGACAGAATCCAGCGCCCCAACCGGGACTAGAACCCGGTGTGCCAGCGCCGCTAGGCGGAGGATTAGCCTAGTGAGCCACGGCGCCGGCCCAAAATACCTTACTTTCAAAAGAACCTGTGTGAACTTAAAACAGGGCCTTAGCCGGTGCCGCAGCTCACTAGGCTAATCCTCTGCCTTGTGGCGCCGGCACACCGGGTTCTAGTCCTGGTTGGGGCACTGGATTCTGTCCTGGTTGCCCCTCTTCCAGGCCAGCTCTCTGCTGTGGCCACGGAGTGCAGTGGAGGATGGCCCAAGTGCTTGGGCCCTGCACCCGCATGGAAGACCAGGATAAGTACCTGGCTCCTGCCATGGGATCAGCGCAGTGCGCCGGCTGCAGCGCGCCAGCCGCAGCGGCCATTGGAGGGTGAACCAACAGCAAAAGGAAGACCTTTCTCTCTGTCTCTCTTTCTCACTGTCCACTCTGCCTGTAAAAAAAAAAAAAAAAAAAAAAAAAACAAACAAAAAACAGGGCCTCACGAGATTTCACACCAGCATTACCCTAACACTAAGAGAAATCTTCCTCTACTGTTTGCATTATTTCTCCCCTGCCCTTCCTACCTTTTTGTTAAAAAGTACAAAACAAAAACAATTATCCTTTCTATCATTTGAGGTGCAAAGTGATTGAAAGCAGCAGATAATTTTATTGGCAACTGTTATCACAGTTATATCTTTGATAGACAAAGTACACAGTTTCTTCTACCTCAGATACACAAATCTCAGCTGTGATCTCCGAAATGAGTATCATTAAGGCTTTAAATGGGAAGTTTTCAAATCTAAATGCCTAAGAGTCCATGGAGGAGCCTAAACAGTAAAACTCTTACAAGAAAACATGAGATAAGCTTCATGGCCTTGAGTTTGACAATAATTTCTTAGATAGCACCAAATGGTGCCGTAAGCATGAGTAACCAAAGAAAAAGCAGATAAATTGGATTACATCAGAATTAAAATGTCTGTGTATCAAAGGGCAAAATCAAGAGTAGAAGGTCAGCCCACGGAATTGAAGAAAATATTTGGCAACCAAATATCTGTTGAGAAGTTAATATTCAGACTCTAGGATGAACTAATATTTAAAAAATATAGAAAAAAATAGAAAATGACAAGTGTTGGTGAGGATGTAGAGTGAGACCTCTTGTGCTCTCTTGGTGGGAATTTAAAATGATGTAGATGTTATGGAGGTTCCTCAAAAAATTAAAAATAAAGTTACCATATGATTCAGCAATCTTACTTTTAGACATATATATCAAAAGGAATTGAAAACAGGATCTCTAAGCATTATGGAAAATGAACCAGGCTCATTGCATTATTATTCATAATACCCAAAAGTAGAAGCAGTCTAAACTCATGGATATGTGAATGGATAAATAAAATGTGATGTATACATAGAATGGAATATTTGACCTCAAAAAAGAAGGAAACCTAATCATATGCTGCAAGATGGATTTAATTTGAAGATATTTGCCAAATGAAATGAGCCAGTCACAAAAAGACAAATGTTGCGCAATTCCAGTTGTATGAAATATCTGAAGTAGTCAAACTCTTCAAAACAAAAAGTAGAACAGTGGTTGTCAAGGCCTGGGGTAGAGAGTAAAGGAGAGTTGTTCCATGACTATGGAGTTTCAGTTTTGTGAGACAAAAAAGCTCTAGAGATTAGTTTTGCATGTAGCTAATACTGTTACTGTGTTCTGTGTACTTAAAAAAGTGGTTAAGATAGGGGCCAGCGCCGTGGCTCACTTAGTTGATCCTCCGCCTGCGGCACCAGCATCCCATATGGGTGCTGGGTTCTAGTCCCCGTTGCTCCTCTTCCAGTCCAGCTCTCTGCTGTGGCCCTGGAGGGCAGTGGAGGATGGCCCAAGTGCTTGGGCCCCTGTACCCGCATGGGAGACCAGGAAGAAGCACGTGGCTCCTGGCTTCGGATCGGCACAGCACCAGCCATAGCGGCCATTTGGGGAGTGAACCAACGGAGGGAGGACTTTTCTCTCTCTCTCTCTCTCTTTCTGTCTCTCTCTTTCACTGTTCACTGTCTATAACTCTACCTTGTCAAAAAAAAAAAAAGTGGTTAAGATAGTAAATTTTGTGTTATGTTGTTTTTTACTACAGTGAAAAAAAAAATCTACACATGCTAAGACATGGACAACCCCTAAAGATATTATGCTAAGTGAAAGAAACCAGTCACAAAAAGGCAATTTCTAGGTGATACATGAAGTATCTAGGGTAATCAGGTCCATAGAGCCAGGGGCTGTAGGAGGGGTAGAATAGGAAGTTACTGTTTCATGGGTAGCATTTCAATTTTGCAAGATGAAGAGAGCTCTGGAGATAGATGGTGGTGGTGATGGGTACAAAACAACCTGAATGTAATGTCTCTGAACTGTCGGCTTACAAATGATTAAGATAGGAAATTTTACCATAACTTTTTTTAAAAGTTCATGAAAGAGAAGAATCTTATTTGAGACAGTAACTTTTAAAATGCTAATTCTAAATATTATTTTAATATCTTTCTTACCAGAATGAAAATATAGTGTAAATCCTTTTCAAAGAATTCTGTTTCCATGACAACATTTGAAAATACTGTTTTTCTAAAGCACTTAGAACTGTCCATTCACATGAACTTTTATTGCCTTTAGAAATTATTTAAACTATAAGGAGAAGCTCTTGATCCCTGTATCACTGTTTGTACAGAATTCACTTATTAGGCAAGTAAAATATTCCTTCAAATCTTTATTTCTTTTACATGAGAAAGAAGAGTTGTTTCCTTGGACAGTTAAAGTTTGTGAAACACCTCTGTCAAGTGTGTCTGACTGGTATAGAGTGTGGAAGAAATAGCTGGATATTAGATTTATTATGTGAAGCTACTATCTTTTTTTTTGACAGGTAGAGTTATAGACAGAGAGAGACAGAGAGAAAGGTCTTCCTTCTGTTGGTTTACTTCCCAAATGGCCGCTACGGCTGGCGCTGTGCTGATCCAAAGCTGGGAGCCGGGTGTTCCTTCCTGGTCTCCCATGCAGGTGCAAGGGCCAAGCACTTGGGCCATCCTCCACTGCCTTCCCGGGCCACAGCAGAGAGCTGGACTGGAAGAGGAGCAACGGGGACTAGAACCCAGGAGTTACTATCTTAATACAAAGAGCTTTGAAAGATTGACTAGGGTGGCACTGTGGTATAGTAGGCTAAGCCTCTGCATGTGGTGCCAGCATCCCACATGTTCATGCCCTGCCTGCTCCTCTTGCAATCCAGCTCTTTGCTTACGGCCTGAGAAAGCAGTGGAAGATGGCCCAAGTGCTTGGGCCCTTGCACCCTCAAGGGAGACCAGGAAGAAGCTCCTGGCTTCAGATAAGCTCAGCTCCAACTGCTGCATCCATCTGGGGAGTGAACAAGTGAATGTAAGACCTTTCTCTCTCTAACTCTACCTCTCAAATAAATAAATAAAATCTTAAAAAAAAAAGAAAGACAGTGATTCAGATGAATAAAAAAGTACAAGTTCTAGTATATGAGTTAAATGATAGGCATACAAATGTGTGAGGCCTTTTTTTTTTTTTTTTTTTTAATTTGACAGATAGAGTTAGTGAGAGAGATTGACAGAGAGAAGGGTCTTCCTTCCGTTGGTTCACCCCCAAAATGGCTGCTGTGGCCGGCGCTGTGCCAGTCTGAAGCCAGGAGCCAGGTGCTTCTTCCTGATCTCCCATTTGGGTGTAGGTGCTCAAGCACTTGGGCCATCCTCCACTGCCTTCCCCGACCACAGCAGAGAGCTGGACTGGAAGAGGAGCAACCCGGACTAGAACTGGCGCCCATATGGGATGCGGGCGCCGCAGGCAGAGGATCAACCAAGTGAGCCATGTCGCTGGCCCCGTGATTCTTAATTTACATATGACACAAACCTAAATATGTGGTGCTAGAGAAGAAAACAATTTAAAATTGTCAAATGCTATAAGGACTCGATATCTGAAGACTTCTTTCAGTTCTCTGAAAGTTTGTCAACTTCTTACAGTAATGTATGCATTTTCCCTGGGTGGTAGGAACGTGCTCAATTCATCTCTGAATATCCAGACCTTAATAGAGTAGCTCACAGATATCGATAAATGTTTTCTGATAGGACGATAGACTGAATTTCCCTATTCGTCTCTATTGCCACTTTATAATTTCTCATTTTCTCAGTATACTTTATCCTCAATTCTGTATCCATGTGAGTTGCCCCCAGCAGGTAAATTGTTTAGCTTCAGTCTAACCAGAATTGCTGTAAATCAGTTCTCTTTATTCATCTCAAAGTAATTCATTGTATTCATTCATTTACCTCTCATCTACCTACTCTCCAAGTGATTACTCATACCTTTTCTTCTCTTCAGCCTTCCTGTTCATCCTGATTCCTAACCGTATGCCCTACAGAGAAAATTGAAACCATCTGGTGAGAGCTCCCCTCTGAGTTCTTACTTCCCACAGAGCATGCATTCCATCTTACCCTTAACTTTCCTTCCCTCTAGTTTCTGATGAACAAGTTTGTTTCCTCCTTTGCTATCATTTTTTTTAAAAAAACTCAAATAATAGGGAATGGAATGGAATCTCCCCTCTTCTGAAACTAACTTTGACTCTATGGGAGATTTTCATCTGAACACAACGATACTATTACAGATGCTGAAGGGAAGGGGACAAGGGTATCTGCTTGGAGAGTTTTTTGCTTCCCTCTCTGATTTCTGGCCCACCATCTCTGGCCTCTGATGCACCCATATCTCCCTGTCCTCTTGGCTCAGCCTGAGCATATGAGTCTGGATAGATAATCATGCATACACCTTGGGTTTTGTTTCCACATACCATTTATTGATATCTACTGTGTGGCATGGACTGTGCCAGATAATTTGCATATCATTTTTTTCCCATTTGCTATCTAAATTAGAAATACACATAACCTGTGAGTAAGTTGGGAAGTGACTGCATGTTCTCAGTAGTGCTAGTACTTCACATGGGATTCTTACTACCTTTTCCGTTGCTGTTACCAAGCTATTTTATAAAAACATATTTTGTCTTTTCCAACACAATAGTGAACTCTGACCAAAAACTCGTTTTCCTTATGTTTACATTCCTTTATGGCACAGGAAAAAACATTCCCATTTAAGAGGATATCGTCACTACACTTTATTTTGTATAAATTCTGAACATTTTATGACCCTCCTACCATTTGGGCCATGAGTTGAACCATGTAGCTTGATGTTTCCTTACTGATAATTGTTTTGCCATTTTGATAGATTATATGATCCATTCAGATAACAATTGCTATTTGGAAATACTAGTAAACCCTTTGATAATCATGATTATCATTATCTGGTTAAGCTTAGAGTCAGTATCAAAAGAGGATCAGTATATTACCTTCTTTTTTATCAGTCAGTAACAATAGAACTTAAGCCACAGAGTTAGCATGGATTCATTTTGGTACAGTGAATCAAAAGATTGGACTTGATGTCATTTTATTAGTGAACAAAATCATGAACTCTAGCAGTTAATTTAATCGCCTCCAAATCAGAGACCAGCAAGGATGCTTGATTATTTAAAAATGAAAAAAATCTGAAATTAAAAATAAAATATAAAAAGGGAAAAATTCTTATATTTGATAATGCAATTTAAACAATTTTGTTATTCAATGAATAATTAATACTCCTGATGTATGTGCTGAAGATACAAAGTATAGTCCTCACATTTAAGGAGCTTGCTGTACAGTACAGTGTCAGATTTTCCTTGCCCTCCAAAACACCCAGCAGAAGTCTTACAAAATTAATTCACTTAGCAAATATTTACTGTGTGCTTAATATGTGCCAACAGTGATTGACAGGTTATGAAATACCCCCGGCTGGTTCATTTCTGTAGACAGATGCTTCTTGGGAATTGCAAATATATCTATGCTTTTTATTGGTTAGGAGAAATTTAAATTGGAAAAATGTCTTCAATCCTTTCAGCATATAAACATACAGTGATTTTGTAACTAGAGAAAGTGAGGTTAGATTCATCAGATTTCACAAGGCAGCACTTTCCATAATGAAAATTGTTCTACATTGAGAGATTCTCTTTTCGATTGACTGCAAATTTCTAAATCATATTTTAAGGCATATTCCTTCCCTTAACTTTACTGTATCAGAAATACAATTGACAAAGAACAAAATTTTATAGCAAAAATTAGCCCCTAACATGCATCTCTTTATGTTTCTATTTCAAGTAAGTTGGTGTTTTAAACCACTGGATCATACCATCTGGAGACATTTTTGATTGTTGTAGTAGGGGAAGTCTAAGGGGGTAGGCTGTTGGAATTTAGTGGATAGAGCTCTAGGAGGTACATAAATGTCCTACAATGTACAGGACAGCTCCCTACTGCCATGCATCATCTGGCACACAATGTCATAATACCAACATTGAGAAACCCTGTTTTAGTTAGTACACTTTTAAATGAATGGTTAAAAACATTAGCAATGTATATAACATGTAACACCAAAATATGAGAGCTTCTTACAGTAATTTCATTTTTCTTCTCAATCAGGATGACCAGTTTATTCAACAAAGTTGAAGACTTTTGGGTTCCAGGTATATACCAGGAGATAGGGGTTCCAGATATTTCAAAAACAGACTCCTAGTTCTCAGAGTCCCCATGCCAGAATTGAAGATACATAATTTAAAAATTTACAAAATAATATATTTTATAATAAAGCTAAATAGTAAATAGACCTGTTAAGTGGATCAGAGAAGGGTTAACAGGAAGTTACATTTGAATAGTTTCTAAAAATTCATTTCAGGCCAGCACTGCAGCTCAATAGGATAACCCTCTGTATGCAGCGCCAGCACACCAGGTTCTAGTCCCTGTCAGGGTGCCAGATTCTGTCCTGGTTGCTCCTCTTCCAGTCCAGCTCTCTGCTGTGGCTCGGGAGTGCAGTGGAGGATGGCCCAGGTCCTTGGGCCCTGCACCCACATGGGAGACCAGGAGAAGCACCGGGCTCCTGGCTGCGGATCAGCACGGTGCGCCGGCCACAGTGGCCATTGCGGGGTGAACCAACGGAAAAGGAAGACCTTTCTCTCTGTCTCTCACTGTCCACTCTGCCAGTCAGAAAAAAATTCATTTCAAACATTAACACTTAGATGTTAATCAGGAAAGGACTACACAAGCAGAGAGAACAGTATAGGAACAATCCTGAAAGTTTGTTAAAAAGTAAGAATTGATTGTAAATATCATGTAGATGAGGCTAGGATCCTGCTTTAGTGGGGCTTTGAATGTAAGGAGTTTGGACTTTATACTGAGGTCAGGGATGTCAAGTGACTTAGCATTTTACAAAAACCATTCTCACAATTATGTGCAGGGTGAAGATGGGAGAGAATTTTACCTGATACGGTAGGAGATTGTGAATATCTTAGATAAGGTAGAAAGGTTTGATTGTCAGGACTTGGTGTGTGAAATATCTTGAATGGTACGGGAAGATGGCAGATACAGGATGACTTGTACATTTCATATTGGGGAATTCATGAATGCTGAAACCAGGGATTTTATGGATAGTTCCACCATTAACCAATATGGAAAATAT